CCCCTGGGTCCGGCGGTTCTGGGCGGCCTGCGTGGCCGTGGCAGCAGGAGCTGCAGCCTGGTACCTGATGTGATGGGCACTGCCTGGTGCCCACGGGGAGGCACAGCCTGGCCTGCCACAACGGTTCCCTGGTGAGTTGACTGCAGGGTGGAAGTTAACACACAAAAAAAAATAAGCAGAAATCCTGCAGGACTGGCACAGACTCTGCACACCAATGATGCAAGCACTGTCATCTAATGTCTTTAGCTGGTGTGAGGATCCTCTGCAGCACTGCCCTGCCCAGGCTGGGGCAGCTTTTAAGGTTAGACATCTCCTGTCCTGGCAATGGCTTCACCTGCTTGGCTTCTCATCTCCTTCCCAGGGGCTGGAGGGAGTTCCCTGCCCTGTGCTGCAACCCCCTGAATGGTTCCTCAGCCTTGTGAGTGAAGAGCACTGAGTTTCCTGCCCTCAGAACCAGCTCTTTTGGTTGTGCCACAGGGGCTGAGCTGTGGGGCTGTGGGCTGAGTGTCCTGGGTGGTCCTGGGGAGCAAGTGTGATGTGTTGGCACAAGGTCCTTGGGGGTGTGGGGGGGGTACAAAGGTGACAAATGTATAATGTGCAGCCTTGGGGGCTTGTTTTTTTTGTTTTCTTGAAGCCTTGTCTGGAATAAAGAGGTGCAAGGCTGGAGCTGGGCAAGACAAAAGGCATCACTGGGAGAAGGAGGGAACTGACTGTGGTATGGGTCTGTTGGGCAGGGGTGTGGAAGGCTGGGGAGTGGGAGAGGGACACAGGGTGTTTACTTGTCTCTGACTCCCAAGGGGGCTTTTCTCTCTTCAGCTGAGGGCTTGGGCACAAGGAGCTGTCTGAGGGGCAGAGGGGAGCAAAGAAAGCTCCTCTGCCCCCCCCCCCCCCTGGGCAAGACAAAAGGCATCACTGGGAGAAGGAGGGAACTGACTGTGGTGTGGGTCTGTTGGGCAGGGGTGTGGAAGGCTGGGGAGTGGGAGAGGGACACAGGGTGTTTACTTGTCTCTGACTCCCAAGGGGGCTTTTCTCTCTTCAGCTGAGGGCTTGGGCACAAGGAGCTGTCTGAGGGGCAGAGGGGAGCAAAGAAAGCTCCTCTTCCCCCCCCGACCTCCCCCAGGGTTCTGCTGCCCTGGGCTGGGGCAGCTGCTGCTCTTCCTCTTCCTCCACTGCCTGGCACTGCTGTGCTCCCCTCCCTCCTCATCCTCAGCTCCCCTGGGGCTGGATCTGCTGGGGGCCTGGAGCAAGACACGAGGTACACACAGAGGTGAGGGTCTGTTATTTATTTACATAAAAACACTTGACTAGTGCCACGGTTCCACCACTGAGCAAACACCAGGGGTGTCTGCAGACCCGTGTCCTGAGAGAGAGACATCCCCCCCACACCCCCTGCTTTGTGCTGGGGGCTGCACCCCCCTGGCTGCTGGGGGGGGTGTGGGAGGGGCAGGGGCAGGAGGGGCAGCCCAGGGAGCAGCTGCAA